GGAGAATTGCTTGAACCCAGGAGGCGGAGGTTGCAGTGAGCTAAGATTGTACCACTGCACTCCAGCCTGGGCCACAAAGCAAGATTCCGTCTCAAAAAAAAAAAAAAAAAAGAAAGTGATGGTCTGTAGCTGATGCAGTTATCTAACATGCCACACCTTCCATTTTATCATTTTTAACACAGAATAAAATCTGTCCACAAGCTTCTAGGAGACAACGTTCAAGACTGATGTGGTGCAGGTTGTGTTTCGTGAGGTACTGCCAAGATAACAAGAGTTTGACTGTTTTTAAGAAGATCAATGACTCTGATCCCCACAAAGGATTCCTCTGTGAGTGAGGGATCAGATGACAGCCCGTGGACGGCTGGCATTCCTCAGCGTGTTGGTCAGACGATGCTCCCTCCTCTGAGAATGGCAGGGTTCCCTCAGGGGAGGAGGTGAGCTGCTTGGGTCAGGAGCTAAGTGAGGTCACAGGGAGGGACCCCTACCCTGTGGAATCGTGTCTTATTAAGGAGTGAAAGAGACACCATCTATCGCTGCCCAGGAATCAGCTCCGCGTGACGGCGGGTTTGGGGCAGGGGCAGGTAAACGTCAGGAAAGGGCCAGACAGTGAACATTTTAGGATTGGTGACCGTAACTCTGCTGTTGTAGTGCAGAAGCAGCCGTGGGTGATACCTGGGCAAATGGGCCTGCGTGTTCCCACGACAATGCGTTTACTGTAACAGATGCCAAGAGGATTAGGCCACCGACTTTTGCGTGTGCTCTTCGGGCCTGCCGCCTGAGCAGAATGAGGGTTCCAGTGGTGTTCACATCATCAGGTGTCTCGTGTTCTGCGTATAAAACAAGCTCTTGAAGTCAGGAGGCAACGTGCAACCTGAGCAGGCAGGTAGCTCGTGAAGCATCTCACCTCCCAGCATAACAAGTGCTTCTCCATCCATACGTACAGAATTCCCCTCTGCAGGCGGCAATGTTGTGATGGAATATGCTCTGAGAGATAGAGGAGGTGACTTCTGCCAGGAGTGACCAGGAGGACTTCTTGGAGGAGGCAGCACTTGAACTGGTCTTGAAAGATGATGAGATTTTAATGGGAAAAGAGATGATCGAGAAGAACCTTCCAGCAGGAGGGAGCTGCCTTAGCAAAGATAGGGAGGCTGGAAAACGTGAGAAGTGGGACAGGAAGATCAACACAGGACCTCTCCCTTCTGAGCCAAACTGACACTTACCTCTTGCCATGAAAGGTCGCTCTTCTGGAGATTATAAGCTATTTATTTTTAATAGAGAAACTGCCTTAGTTTGAGTTCTGGCTGCCACTTATTTAGGTAAGAAACAACTTTTTGGGCCTCAGGTCCTCACCTGTAAAATGGGCTGAATAATAGGATTGTGCCTCTCTCCAGTGGGCTGTTAGAGGTTGGACTGCGTCCCCCCAGTACTCACATGCTGAGGCCTAACCCGGTGTGACTGTACATGGAGACAGGGTGTATAGGGAGGGGATGAAGGCTAAGTGAGGCCACAGGGGAGGGGCCCCTACCCTCTAGAGTCGTGTCTTTATAAGGAGTGAAAGAGAAACCAACGCTTGCTTCTCTCCTGTGTGCAGAGGAAAGGCCAGGTCAGGACGCAGTGAGGAGGCGCCCCGCAGCCCCCGGCAGAGCCCTCACCACACCAGCCCTGCCGACGCCTTGATCTTGGACTCCCGGGCATCCGCTGCATAAACCACCCCGTCCGATGTATTTTCCCATGGCAGCTTGAGCAGAATGAGGCTGGGGCTTTGGAAGAAGGAACTTCACATGTGAGGAACTTGGAGAGTGGGACGTGCCGTGTGTGCACATGTGCTGCTGGTGGCTGCTGTTATTGTTATGGTCAGGAGTGGCGTATTCCCAGCCTCTGGAAGCTAACCTCATGGTTTTCTTTCTTCTTCCACTTTTCCTTTTTCAGATCGTGTCTGCCCTTAGCCTGACATCCCCGCCACGTAGGGCTCCAGGACTGCTGTGGCCTCAGCAATTCTGGGTTCCTGGAGGCCCTGGTTCATTGTTCTCCCCTTTCCCCTTGGCTGGCCTAGATGCCATGTCCTCTTTCTTGGGACGGTCCTCACTGACGGGCCCCATGGGAGGTGGCAGACAGGGCCAGCTGCCATGCGGGCACAGCTGTCATGGCATCCCCTTCTCCAGACATTGCTCACCAGCCCTGGCTTCCCTGAGCTTCTCGTCAGCCCTGGTGGAAGTGAGCAGACATGATGACTTAGTCTTGTTTTCCCCATCAGGAGGCCAGGGTGGGGGAAGGGCAGTGTGCCGCTGAGTGGTTGGTCCTCTGACTTAGTGCCAGTCACGCGCATGTGAGCTAGGGTCTCGGGGCACGGTGCTGGGACAGCTCAGCTGGCAGACCTAGGACAGGGCTGGAGGGTGGGGGGCAGGACTGGGGCCAGAACTCTTCTCCCTCCCTCCCTCCGGACTCAGGGGGGGTTCCTTGGGCGAATTCCTTGTCCAGACAGAGATGTGCGGGGTGAGAGATCCCCAGTCTCTCTAGGAGAAGTGAGCAGGTGGGGCCCAAGACAACAGTCCCTTGTGGCAACCTCCAGCCCTAGGACAGCGGCCTGAACCCTGGGTCACCACGCTTACTCCACCCAGTGCAGAATTCTCCAGCGCCCAGCCTTGCAGAGGCAACGCGGCTCTGACAGGACCTGTAACCTCTTCCTGCCACTTGTCATGCAACCAGCCCTTCCCTTCAAATCTCTCAAAATCCTCTTCCCCAGGGGTCGCTGCCCTGGTCCTCGGAGCAGGCTGTGGACATGGACTCACTCTGCTGAGCTCTTCCTCCTCTGTGTACCGAGGCCACGGCCCCCACTCCCATCCCCAGTGCAGGCTCTCCCTGTGCTACTGTCCCTTGTCCTTCCCCTTATCAAGCCCAAAGGACCACGTAACCACACGCCCTCCTCAGGGCCTTTGCATTGGAATTCCTACACTCTGCATTTCTAAAGGACGGGTGGAAACCGTAGGGTTCTTCTAAGCGGTGAGCTACTCGAGTGAATCGAAATCACACTTGGGGCCGGGCGCGGTGGTGGCTCAAGCCTGTAATCCTAGCACTTTGGGAGGCCGAGATGGGTGAACCACGAGGTCAGGAGATCGAGACCATCCTGGCTAACACGGTGAAACCCCGTCTCTACTAAAAAAATACAAAAAACTAGCTGGGCGAGGTGGCGGGCACCTGTAGTCCCAGCTACTCGGGAGGCTGAGACAGGAGAATGGCGTAAACCCGGGAGGCGGAGCTTGCAGTGAGCTGAGATCCGGCCACTGCACTCCAGCCCGGGCGACAGAGCCAGACTCCGTCAAAAAAAAAAAAAAAAACTAGAAATCACACTTGGTTCCTCCAAATCCCATCTGTAGCCACGTTTGTCAGGAGCGCGGCTGCTGCAGAAAGTGTCTCCGGAGCTTGGGAAGCAGGCGCGGGGCCGCTCGGAACTCCCCTGTGCTAATCACACCCCCTGTCTGCATCCTGCGGGCACTTTGGTCGGACTCTTTCGATACCAAACACTGATCAATTGTAATGAACGGCACTGTTCCCACACAGGACCTCTAATGACTACTGAGTTCTTATGAGGAGGGCCTTGTGCTTTGCAGCATCTAACGTCTCGATAGTGACCTGCTAGTGCCCGTCCAACCCGTCAGCAGATCACAGTCACAAACCCTGGGAGAGGTGGGCTTGCCATGCCACTGCCCCTGCTGATTCTCCATCCAGCTGCCGCCTCCTACTGCAGGGCACCGCTGCTCCTTTCTTGGGTCCTGGCATGGCTCGTGGTAATTATCTCCCCTCCCCCACCCCGCACAGCTGACGACATGTTTCCCGTGTGAGACTCTGTGTCTCCCGAGAAGCAGACACCAAGACAGGATGAGAGATGCATGGATTTTATTGGGAAAAACACCTGCAGGAGAAAACGGGTGAGCACTGGCGGCAGCTGGGAGCACAGACTGCCGCGGGGTCTGAGCCTGCAGGAAGGGGGTGGGTCCTGGGGGCTGCAGGTGGGGGCATCAGCTGGGAGGTGCTGGGGCCACTCAGGCGGTTCACACTGCTCAGCAGAGCTGGCCTGCAAATGGTCCACGTGTGAGCCACTGGTGACGTGAGGTCGGCTGGGCTGGCCCCCGTGGAAGCTGGCCAGCCCAGGCGGGGGGCTCTTTACTTCCCAGAACCGGCCGCCGTTACTCCCGCCAAAGCCAGCCCTCAGCAGGCTCCCATGCCTCCCAGGACAAGGCCTGCCTTGGTGCCCCCTGCACCCAGGACTGGTAGGAAGTCTGTGGGAAGCGTGGGCGATTTCCGCAGCAGCAGCGGGGCCGTTGATGAGGCTGCCGTGGTGGCTGGGGGTGCGTGAGGCTCAGTTTCATGGCCTCCACTCACTCTGCAAAACAAAGCCCCAGTTCCTCCCCTCAGTGCCCTCTGTGGCGGGGCCCCACCACCTCTGACCTTGTCTCCTGAACTTCCTTCCCCTGCACAGGGCTGTCCTGGCCGTGCCATGCATCTTGTTACCCCAGGCCCGATGCCAGCTGGCTGTGTCACTGGCTCCCATCTGCAGCTTCCTCAGTCCTCGCTGCAGGTGTGAGGGGCACTGTGGCTCCCAGGAGCTGATGCTCAGCACATGGCTTGGTGGAGATGGCCCGTGATGGGAGAAGGGCTCTCTGGGCACCGGGGGCAAGACTGCAGCCAGGTCTGGCACTGGGCGGGACGGCGGCCTGGGAGACACATGTATCTCTATTTCTGTCTCTGTCTCTTTGTATCTCTCTCTTTCTCTTTCTGGGTCTCCTTTTGTATCTCTCTCTTTCTCTTTCTGGGTTCCTGCCTGGGCCTCTGTCTCACTTGATTCTGTCTCTGTCTCTTTGCATTCTCTTTTCTCTTTCTGGTCTCTGCCTGGGTCTCTCTGTCTCACTCTGATTCTGTCTCTGTCTCTGTATCTTTTTCTCTCTTGGTCTGTCTCTGCTTCTCTCTATCTCTGTCTCTCTCTGTATTTTTTTTTTCTCTCTCTATTGGTCTGTCTGTCTTTGCTTCTCTCTGTTTCTCTGTGTCTCTGTTTCTCTTGGATTCTGTCTGTCTGTCTGACAGGGTCAACAGAGCCTGAACAAGCTCCTCTCCCAATGACTTTCCAGGTGGTGAAAGGCCTGCAGCAGGCACCCTGGATGGGATCAGCTGCTCTGCTCCACGAGGCTCCCAGTGCCATCTCAGCAGGTAGCTGACGTGGCCTCTCTGTCACCTCCAGGGCAGCCAGTGCCCCTCACTGGAGGCCTCTTGATGTGAGAGAATTCCCTGCTCTTTGTTCCTGGTGTTCTTCTTGCGGGGACGCGCCTCCTCTGTGCTTCTGGATGGCAGGGAGGTCCCACGTGCTCCACAAACGCCCTGGACCAGGCTCGAGTGGATGATAGCGTCGGCTGTGGAGTTCACTTTGTCTTCCGTAGTCGCTCATACTCACACAGTGGCACGCGCTTCTGGCAGGCTGTGTGTGTGAATCCTGTTTCTCTGAGAATTTATTCCTTCGGAGAGGCTGCAGATGAAGGCCCCCAAGGTCTAGGAAGAAGGACATCCCTGGGAGGGAAATCCATGCACTTAAATGGTGCTTGTGGAAACTCTGACTTTCAAACGCCACTGCTCCCCATCCCGCTCCTTCCTTCCTGCAGCAGCTGTGGAGCAGCCCGTGGAGCGTCACACGGCATCCAGCCAGGGGTCCGAGCCCAGGGTCCAGGCCAGGGTCTGCTGCCCGCCAGCTGTGGGCCTGGGCAAGAGCACGGTCCCTGCCCATCTGTGCGCTTTCAGGATCCCCCTCTCTTCCTGGGAGCTGCCCTGCTGTGGGAAGCCTGATTGAACCCTGACGCCTCTAAGCCCCTCACACAGGTTCCATGGGAGAATGAGGCTAACCTGGTTTATGTGTTTTGTAGCCTGTAAACGCTGACCGGTCCTTGTGTCTCAGGAATTCTTTTTAAAAATGCAGAACACTTTTACTTTTTAAGAAAAACCACAGCAAAATTCAGGGTGGGCCTCGGGGCCTTCAATTTATGGCTGTGGCCAGCAGAAGGGGCTTGACTCCCACTGAATTAAGACAGAAGAGAGAGGTTCTTCATAAACCCCAAAGAATTCATCTTCTCAGGAGGAGGCACAGGCACAGGGCACAGCATGGGACAGGCACCCCAGAGCAGTGGGACGGGGCTCCCTGCCTCCCAGCCCCTCCCTGGATGGCCTCCTGCTCCTGTCTCCCCAGCAGCCCTCCGCCTTCTCAGGCGATGTTTATTCATGGCCACGCTTGCCTCCGCACAGGCTTATTCCTGCAAACCCTGCCAGGGTTGTTAAGGAACATCTAAAAGGCGTGAGGCCCTGAGCTTTGATCCGGCTGCTTAATTGCCTTTACTAATCACACCAAGATCAAGAGGATAAAAATAGCCTCCAGGGTCGGGCGGAGAGAGTCACCTTGATGGGGTTTTGAAGAGCAGCGAGGAGACGGTTCTGATTCACTCCCGGTGGCGGCCTGAAATCATCACTTTAATTAAATAAACTCACCTTAGCTACTAGAGCTATGCAAACAACTTGACATGAGGCTTTAGATTATTTACTTAGAGAGAAGCAGAAAGAAAATAGGAAGGCCCTTCCTGGACAGATTTCAATTGTTTTCGTAAGTGCTCTGTCCCCAAGCAAAATGAAACATTTCTCCCTCCTCTTCTCTCTCCCTGCTCGCTCTTACTCTCCCTATCTTTTCTCCTCCTTTCTGCTCTCCTCTGTGTCTATTTCTCTCCCTTCCTCTCCCCCTCCCTTTCTTTCTGTCCCTCTCTGGTTCTGTCTCTCTGTCCCTCTCCACTAGTGTTTTATCTTAAAACAGAATTTTTGAGAGGCTTGTGTTTCTGAGTATTTGCCTTCTCGTTTAGGGATATTCTCCTGGTCACCTCTCATGGTCTTTAAAGCCTGGCTTGAGTCTCCCCCACTGCAGGAAGGCTCCAGGATGACTACCATGTCTTTCCAATAAATTTCTTGTCATTTATCTCAGCCCTTGTGCAGTCACCCTTTATAGCTGTAAACCAAAAAGTGCCGGAGACAGGCCTCAATCAACTCAGAGGTTTATTCTGCCAGCATTCAGAATGTGCCTGGGGAAAAGGAACACGAAACCTCAGGAACAACCTGAGATCTGATTTTTCCAAAGAGGATTTGGATTTAATACTGAAAGGAGAAAAGCAGGCAGGAGGGGAAGGGGAGGGGGTGCGGTCACATGTCTGAATCCACACGTTGCCTTGGAAAGCAGGGGTACAGGAATCATCCATCATGTATTTGTCTGGTGCTCAGCACATCTTTGCATAAGATAAAGTCAGCAGAAGAGCAGCTCCCTGTGGAGACCCCGGCCTGCTCTCTGCAGCGATTCGCTCTGGAGCAGAAGGAAAGGCAGAGGCTTGCATGCCTCAGCTCCCAGCTTAGCTTTTCCCTTTGGCAGAATGAACTGGGTCCTGAGATTTTATTTTCCTTTCACCTGACTGATTTCAGCGCTTCATCTGTGTATTTCCTCTTTCCAAATAGGTCTGCGCTGCCTCAGGTCTGAAATGATGTCTTCTCTTTCCTGTTTCCTGAGCAGCTCATTCTGTTGCCTGTCAAATAGGCCCTTTCCCCAGGACCCTTGGGGTCCAGGTGAGTGGAGCAGCCTCCCACACAGGAAGCCCTGAGTTTTCCCCATCTGGGCCTTTCTTTCTGTCCCTGATATCCAGCTGGTCACCAGATCCTGGCGGCTGAAAGTCATTCTCAAGTCCAGCCTCCTTGATCCACCGCTGCCCCTCGGTCCACGTTCCTGGACGTCAGTCTCTCACTGAGCGTGATGTGTGGCTCGCGTCTGCGGCTGAGAAATCGTTTCAAACGCATGCTTTCCCCTGTTACATCCAGCGTAGGATCTGACCCGGCAGGACCTCAGCAAGGACTCGTGGCTGCTTTCAGAGTGGACACCTGCCATCACGTTTTCCTGAGCATTTCCCTATGCTGCCGGCGCACTGGGGAGCTCTACTCAACCCACAACGGACTGCAGATCTTTTGACCGCTGCATTCACAACTTTGTCCCGAGCCGCTCCGTGAAAGGCATCCTGGAAGTCTATCGGTCTTCCCACCAGCGTTCAAGACTCCCAGATCCCCACGGGGCCCTGATACCATCTCTGTGTGGGCAGCTGCCCGTGTGTGCGGGAGCGCCCTGCCTGAGGCGGAGGGAGCACAGCATCCGTTCGGAGGTGGGTGAACCTCGCGTGTTCTGCACAGGGCTTGAGGTAGGTCTTGGCGAGCAGCCCTGGCCCCTCACCAGGGGACAGTAGGTGGGGTTCTAAATTGTGAGTCATTCATCTCCTCTTCATATGTCTGAATTATGCATACATTCCTTGTGGTTTGGATGCTAGTCTATGAATATGTAGGCAACTTGTTTATTATGGCATTTACAGGGATTTTGCAAAAAAGTTATCCAGAAACCCTTTAGGTTCAGTGGTTGAATTTAACAAATATCTACTGTGCACCTACTCTATGACAGAAATTGTGATTGGTGTCAAGGACATAAAGATGAATAAGATAATAAGCACCTGCCTTCAGTGTGCTCTGGGGTTAGCAGGGAGAACACACAATCCAGCTGGTCTACAGAGACTGACTTATTATCAACGTTTATCACAGCGTGTGGGAAATATGAGCTAATCATACGTCAGATAATAACATGACGACGCCAAAACCAAACCAAATCAAAACAGGTCAAGAAGCCAAACCAACAAACCAACCCCAGCACCACAACAGAAACTAACTCAAGTAACATTGAATGTGGAACCTTGACCACAACCCTTGACCTGCAGACAAAATGCCTGCAAACAAATATCTGCAAACTCGACTTGTGGGTTTAATTTCACTTTGGGGCAGGGCAGCAATTCTGTAATGATTTTCTGTCTTGTAGGATTGAGCAAATACAAGATTCCATCAGTGCTGTTGGAAGCCAGGATTCTCGTTTTTGGAAAAGGGAGATTTTCTTTCTTTCTTTTCTTTCTTTTTTTCCTTTTTCCCTCCCTCCCTCCCTGCCTTCCTCCTCACTCCCTCCCTCCTTCCTTTCCTTCCTTCCTTCCTTCCTTCCTTCCTTCCTTCCTTCCTTCCTTCCTCTTTTCTGTCAAAGCACTTACAATCTCCTCACATGCTATATAATTTACTTATTTATTATGTTCCCCATTTGGTGTCTTTCTTCCCCCTGGGGCAGTGCTCTTTGCTGCTTCATCCAATATGTGCTCATGATCTGAGTGCCTGCAATCGTAGGCGTGTGCATATCTAGTGAATGATGGGCAATGATGGTGGAGATGCAGATTAGGACCAGGTCACGGGGAGTCCTGGATCATGAGAATGAGAACATCTGGATTTCAGCCTGTTGGAAAACGAGATGATGCTGGAAGTGGTGAATGGGCTGCAAGGTGATGAGAGCTGTAGGCTGGGGCAGTGCACAGGACCTGAGGCAGGGGTGTGGTTGGAGGCTTGGAAATCCAGGGGATTTGTTACAAGTGATGGGAACCCGACTCAAACCAGCCTGAGCAATGAAGACAGTGACCTGTCCAAGGGCACCTTTGGTTTGGGTGTGGCTATGCCCAGGACCTGCTCACCTGGGAGGAAAGGAGAGGGAGAGCATTAGGACAAATACCTAATGTATGTCATGTTGGTGACTGCGTGAACTCGAGGGCCAAGCCCAGGTCTCCTTGTCTCTAAGAAGGGGTTCAGAAGCTTGACCTTGGTGGGGGTGAGCAGCGAGAGAGCGGGCGTGTGCTGGGCCCAACACATGACTAGTGAGAGGGTTGGCGTGCCCTTGAGCTCACATGTGCCTCCTGCCCTGCACAGGACACTCCCTCCTAGAGCCCAGCCAGCCCGGCAGGAGGGCAGGGCATGTTCAGAGAGACAGGGGCTGAGTGGATTGAGGGCTGGCCCAAGTCTCAGCCAGGGGTGCTCACTGAGGCCTGGTGGGCTGGACTTGGGGCAGAGCACCCGGCCGCTGTTCCTTCCTGGGGTTCGCAAAGCCCATCGTCCCGCAGCGCATCACGCTGTGCTCTGCACCATGTGTGTCTGCACTCAGCTGTGGCCAACACTCAGCCGTGTCCTGGCATCCCCCGGGCAGCACCCAGCAAGACCCAGGCTCTGGGTGGATCTGGATAACCCAAGGGCACATTGGGGAGAGGCTGCCTTCCTCGCTACGGTTCCAAAGCCCAGAGGATGAGTGAGCTCAGCTGTGATTACACAAGACAGGCCACAGAGCCAGTAGAATTTTCAATCAAAAAATTAACATCCATGTATGCTTACCATGGAAAATTTGGAAAAAACAGGAAAGAAGAAAAAAAAATTAAAATCACCTTTAGTCTTACCAGAGATAACCAATATTAACACATTGGCATATTTCCTTGTAATCATTTCTCAGAAGCCTGTGTATGCCTGTGAGTGTTAGAAAATTGGGGCTATACTGGGTAGATGCTTCTGGGGTTTGCATTTTAAACTTTTTTATATTTCAAGTATTATTCCATCATTTTAAATGGCTGCTTTATATTTTGTCACACATCAGGGTCTATCAGAATTGATTTAACCTTCATCTATGGGCTTTCCAATCTTTCATTGTTTTTTGCATTACTAAATGTGGGAGTGTTTGGGGGAATGGAATACGTGGCTTAGAGAGGAAGGCAATGAGAAAACATTCTCCATTCTCCGTGTGCTTTTAACAAAATTCACAGCAGCTTAAGGAAGAGCTCTAAATACGGTAGACAGCAAGAGGCAGAGATTCGTTAGTAAGATGGCTTCTTATCACTCTTTCGAGGGTTTCTGAGACCCCCTTGGAGCAGAGTGAACAGAGGGCAGTTGGCGCAGGGCTCAGGAATGTTCTCTGGAAGGGCCTGGAGTCCTCACCTGAAGGTTGCCTGAACCTTCTCCGGGGCAGCCCGTGGCAGTGCACACACGTTCTGGGCTTCAGAGGATTAGGACACCTGGCGTCACTTCCCCAAATTTTCTCATCGAGAGACCTGTCTTTGGTCTTGGGATTCTATGGGGGCTCCCTAAATCCCGAATTTTTATGCAAATTGTAGCTCTTATGTTCATTTTTCTGTGTAGGCAGCACAATAACAGTCAGCAGATTCTGAAATCAGCCCGTGACCCCCACACAGAAGAACCCCCAGGTAGGCCCTCTTTTACCATGGAGGCAGGTCACTGGGACGGTGGGTCCAAGTGCTCACATCATGGGGGTAAGTGGGGTGGGGCTGGAGAAGCTTCGAGAAGCATTAAGCTGCTTCTCCCTGAAGCAGTGGAGTTGGGGAGCCGTTCCCAAGAGGGACCCATGGGTGAGCCAAGGAATGCAGGAGGGGGTGCTGTGGGGAGGGGTTATGAGCCAGGGCGTCCAGTACAGGATGTGGGCAGAGCCAGCAGGCCGAGACCCCAGTGGTTTCGAGGACAACCACTGTACTACATCCAGGGACAGATGGGGACCTTGGGGTCCTCACGGGGTATGGACATTGCGGGGGTTCCGTGCCACGCTGTTTCACACCTGTGTGGCTCCACAAGGGCCTCCTTGTTTCTGGAATTTTCCTCCTGTGCCTTCATGTGTAGGTGGGTACTGGGGTGCCGGATCTCCACTGCAGCCTTTGTAGGGACTGACTAAGCTCCTCCTCCACTGGCTGAGAGACAGGACACAGGGTTGTGCCCAGCTCCTTCCCTCAGCTGGGGGTGCCTGGAGGCTGTCTGGCTCCAGAGCTCCCTGCGGGGTGGCTCCAGGCCTGGCAGGCCCAGGGCAGCTTTATTCCTCCCTCCCTGCACACCTGTTTTCTACTCTTCCTTTATGGGCTGACTTGACTTCCACAGACCAACATTTATTAAGAACCTACTGTGTGCGTTGAGGTAGGTGGTTCCCTGACCTCCATGGATTAGGCGAGTGGAGGAACAGGCATTCAGACAAAATCCCCGTGAGACGCACTCACTGCTACAGACACCCAGCGCTTGGTGTGGTGGCACCACCCTTTTGTTACATTTTTTGCACCAAGCACTGGACCGAGGACGCTCCAGGAATGGCATAGCTGGAGAAAGTTAGATGAGGTCAAATTTTGAAAATTGCAGCTCATTTTTATACTCCGACTGCAACAGAAACCCCCTTTCTCTGGCTCATTGACTGATGAATAGAAAAGTTGTAAAGGTTGGAATGATTTAATAAAAATACATCTCTCTTAAATTTCAAACATAAAAAGTACAGTTTCACTTTTGTTTTTAGCGTAGGGTGATTTTGGAGTTGGGTTCACTACTGACTAGGGCTTTCTGCCCCTTCTTGTGTAAATCTCACTCCTGATTATGATCTGGGACTTCTGCCAGGGTCTCTAAGTGAAATGACTGTGCCAGGGGAGTCCAAATGACTGTGACATCCTTGGGGTTGACAGACACCAACCGACGAGGGCACTAAGGAACTTTCTGAGTGCTGGAATGTTCTCTGTGTTGAACTGTATGGTCACAGGATCAGAATTCATCAAGTTGTACAATAAAGACTAGTCGTATGTCTTTTATGGCTCATGAAAAGATTTTAAAACAAGGTAGATTGAGAGTTAAAGATAATCTTAGGTGGAATTCTGCCTGACTTTTATGATTGTTTCCATCTTTTACTGGTGTCTTGCCCACACATAATACTGTATCTGGATATGCATATTTTACGTATTTTTTAGAGACAGGGTCTTGCTCTGTCACCCAGGGTGGCACAATTGCAGCTCGCTGCAGCCTCAAACTCCTGGGCTTGAGCGATCCTCTCATCTCAGCTTCCAGAGCAGCTGGGACCATAGGCGGGTGCCGCCACACTCAATTGAATTTTTTTTTTTTTTTTTTTTTTTTTTTTTTTTTTTGTAGAGACAGGGTCTTGCTATGTTGCCCAGGCTGGTTTCAAACTCCTGTCCTCTAACCACCTTCCCACCTCAGCCTCCCAAAGCACTGGGGTGACAGGTTTGAACCACTGCTCGTGGCCCCAGTATATATATTTAGGCATGCTCTTTATTGAATCTTTCCAAAGTAGTTCATCTAAGTTTTCATAGAAACAGTCACTCATTCTTTTTGCACTGTTTCTGCAGTTGCTGTGTTGTTTAATTAGCTTCCTCGATTGCAATAAGTTTAAGGAGCAAACATGACTAACTCCTGGGAAACATGTGGGACATGCCGCTCCCAGCCCCTGGCGCTCAGAATCCCCTAGATATGGGTCAGCCAGCTCTAGGGGGAGCAAGAAGTTCTCTCCCCAGGCCCTGCCGGTCAGGAGCATCTCAGCCCCAAGTGAAGAACCACTGGGGGAGATCTGTTGACTGGTAAATAGCCCCTCATGCCCACTTCTGTAAATCTGGATCTTTACTGTGTATGTGTTTTAATTTTACAAAACAGCTTTTATGGAAGGGACCAGCATGTCACCTCCTCACCGTTGACATGGGTCTCTGACGTCCTCTGCCATCAGAGTGTAGATCACAGACATAGAAGCCTCCAGCTCTCATCCTGGCCTCCCCATTAAACTGCAGTGTGGCCTCAGCTGAGTCACTTCATCTTGCCTCAGTTTATTCATCTATTAAATGGGAATATGAGCATTACACTCCCACAAATGATTGTGGTGAGAATTGATAATAAAACAGGCCTCACCCAGGTGGAGCCTGGGCCCGAGGGCTGCCCACTCTGGGCTCCTCAGCATCAGGAGGTCACAGGCGTCTCCAGTGGACCACTGGAGAGTGTGAGGGTGCTGACGGAAACAGGCTCCTCTTGTCACTGCACTGCTCCCACCGGGGCCTTCACCAGGAATGAGCTTCAAGGTCAACCAAAGAGGAGAAAGAGGAGAGGGAATGAGGAAGAACATAGAAGACTGTGAGGCAGATCCAGGGACCAATGAGGCACCCAATGCGTCCTCCCCACTGACTGCCTTGGGTGGCGTTGTCCAGTTTCTGAAGGATTCTCTGCAAGGCCTGGCCC